TTTTTTTTTTTTTTTTTAAATAAATAATTAATTCATCTTTTTTCAGCATATTAATATTTTGAAAACCTAATTGATGGCTTATTCTTCCCTGATGCGCCGCGGCCGAGGTTTTGCCGGATTTTCTAGCTATTTGATTTCTGGAAAATGGAGTGGCGACTGTAATTGGTTTTGTCAGAGAGGCATGGGCACGGCGGCGCTGATGTCGCCGGGAAAAGGTAGTCCATCTTCTTCTTCTTCTTGTTCTTCTCCCTGGCTGATGCTGCAACCCGCATATGAAGCCAGCGCCGTCTGCACGGCCGCCACGATGACCTACAAGTTGTACAACCTAGCCGAGAACAGGGTCGTGACACTGTGGGTCCCACAAATTCCCGGCGACCTTCTGAGTTTCCGGGGTTCCTCCGGCGGTGGCTGGCTATCCCTTGTGCAGCGCGAAACCCACGATCTGTTACTCTACAACCCGATATCCCGCCGTCGCATAAAGCTCCCACCTTTATACGGCCCCTCTGTTGATCTAGGCAGGGCACCCATTCTCCATAAGTCCTTCATCTCCTGCTCTCCCGACACTGAAAAATGTGTGGCCGTGAGCCTAACCTACTCTGGGGAATCCATGGCTGTGTGCTGCCCTTTGTCCAGTGACAATTGGAAATGGTTCGGCACAAATTCCAAAGACAAGTGTTATTTAGGAGGGTGTATTCAATTGAGATTTTTAAGGACTTTTTAAAACTTTTTAAATTTGATGACTTTTGTGGACTTTGTAGAACTTTCATGACTTTGGTGGACTTTTTGAGACTTTCAGAGAATTTTCATCAATGACTTTTTAAGACTTTCATAGTGGATTTTTTAAAACTTATTGAGACTTTTATATACTTGCAGTTATAATATTATGTTTGAATAAAATATTAATAAACGTAACATAATAACTAACATAAACAAGAATAAATGAAAAAACAAAAAGATGTTGTATATATTAATCCCCAAAAAATTTATGATTAAACTCATTTTTATGCGAAATGAGTTATTCACGAACAAATTGTTTAGGATTTTAGATTTATTAAACGAGTAAATCGATCCGAGTTTCAACGAGTCGAATCGAGCAGGGCCTTATATTTGTTTGTTAAAAGAGTACAAGGTCAAATATGTGTTAGACATCTCTACTATAACGACACTTATAATCAACTCAAATTAAGATATATTTATTTAATTATTTATTGATTTTATTTTTTTATATTTTTGCATAATGTTGTTATATTAAAAAAATATTATTAGGTTATATTTTTACAAGATACAAACATGCCGAAAAACAGTAATTGTATCTTATAAAATTATCAATAATATTCAAAATATTTTAATATTAACAAATAAACTATTTGAAAATAAAATATTTTTTAATATTTTGAAATAAACATTTACAAATAAAAAGAAAGAACAAATGAATTATTTGCAAGTGCAACTATGGAAGCATTAACCTTTGAAAAGTCAAATTCACAAGATAGCAAAATGAGAGAATAAGGTATACACACATAAAATAAGCATAATAAAGAATATATAATAAAATAAAAAGATCACAATAATATGTAATGAAAATATACACAAGGTATCAAAGTAAAATAATAGAGTATGAAATTGATATGAGATACAAAGTCGTGTTAGAAAGAAAAAAAAAAGAGAGCGTGAAAAAAGTCACATAAGTCCAGCAAAATCTCACCAATATTGATGAGATTTCTGTTGAGACTTTTCCTTTGTAATTTTGTTACAAAAGTCTCCAAAAGTCTCAAAATTTAAAAAGTCTCACAAAGTCTTTCTGTTTTGAATATCGGGTGACTTATAAAGACTCTCAGAATGTTTTAATTGAATACCCTGAGACTTTTAGAGACTTATTAAAAGTCATTAAAAGTCTCAATTGAATACATGTAAACTTTTTAGAAGTCTTTAAAAGTTTTAATTGAATACACCAGAATTCTAAAAGTCTTATAAAGTCTCTAAAAGTTGCAATTGAATACAACCCCCTTAGATTGCGTCTACTCCACAAGCAAAAAGACACTCTTCGCCCTCACCAACACTTTCCAATTGGAGGCTTGGGACTTGACGACGACTGCTTCCCCTGAATTGATACGAATAATGGGTGAGTTTAGTAATATCCTCGACCACGAAGAGAAGACGAAGAAGAAGAAAGAGTTGTTACAGTCTAGAGACGACTTGTCATGTTGGCATGAGTACCATCTGGTGATTGCCGGAGAGGATCTCCTTGTGGTGACTCAGTACATCGTGGAATCCATTGACCCGGATGGTTTGTATTTCAACTTATACTTAGAAGAATCGCCTTCTGACCTCTCGACCGCGACTATTGATTTTGATGTTCATAGATATGATCCGAAGGATGGGGATTTAAAGTATGTGGAAGGTTCGTGTTTGGGTGGTTGGGCTCTTTTCGTTGGTAACTACAACCACTCTGTTGCATTGCGTGCGCGTGACTTCCCAGAGCTAAAGCCCAACTCCATTTACTTTACGGATACTTTACCAGATCGTTGTGATTCTAATCAAGGTAACCATGACATTGGCATCTTCAGTTATGAGGACAAGACTGTGTCACCATGCTATTATCCATGCGACCCTCCCAACCTAAAACCGATGTTCCCAGAGCCCATGTGGTTTTTCCCAAGCAACTTCTGATTTTCTGGATTCTTCATTTTCCATTTTGGACTTTGCTGTAGCATGTTTTGTTCTTGAATATATATATATATATATATATATATATATAGTGTGGGAATGTCTGGAATAATTTTTTACTCACGCAGCTTAGCATTTTTCCTTTCTTACCAACTTTTCAGTCTGATAAGATAGAGAAACTATAGCTATTTTTTAGCAAAATCTAGAGCGTATGGTCAGGAATACATAATTGCATCACAGAAACTGAAGAGAAAATAGCAGCATGTGTTATCATCAACTCACCATCTATGTTGGGATTAGGGGACAACGAGAGTAGAAGCAATGATAGTATTACATGTATGTTGTAGTTAGTGTGGATTTTGCTTGCGCTGCTCAGCCAAAATGATGGTAGTTCTGAAGCTAAATCATAGGGCATCTGTGATGCATAGATTCAAAATTTCTGGAACTTACAATGAATGCTTTTCAAGTTTTAGCAGTTGGCCCATCGACTAGAAACTGTGATTTTTAACTCCCTTTTTGTGTCTGCCAATGTCTGAGCAATGTTGAAGTCTGTGAGAAAGCTTTCTACTCATGTAATAAGTCTTCCCTTTTGATCTGTTTCTAATTTGTAGTGTCCTGACAACGTTTTTCGATAGAATTTTTCCATTTGTGGTCATGGTTTGTTTGGAATTATGGTTCTTCAATTAGTCGTTCCCATAAAAGATGGAGAGGTGGTGCTCGGACAACATCAAGGCTGTAAGGATGATTCAGCAGTTCCAGACAACTCAAATACTCCTTCCTACTTTTGCAACATAAATTTCACTCTTACACATTTTCAGATGGGAAGGTAGATCACACATTTCCGTTTTAGCTATTCCATCAATACATGTGTATAGATATTCTTTCTATCTGGTTTTTTTTTTCATCTTGAGAGCCCTAGATAGGAAAAAGTCTTGAAGTCGACTAAAGAAAGTGACCTGCTTTAGTTACAGTCAAATAACCTAGATAGTTTATAGCATATTTACTTCGCACTTGTTCAATTAACTTTGTCTGTCTCTCACATAATTTATCGAATAATGAGATCGCATTTGCTCGTTACCTTCGTATAGTTTATCGATAAGGAATTCACGCATGCTCAATTAACTTTGCCTTTCATACTTTTTATCACACTTTATCAATTAACTTATCTCGTATGTCGCATATATAACATTTTATTTTGCACATTATTAATTATCTTCATGCCTGCCGCATAATTATTATGCACTTATTGGGGTTAACTTATTAGTTGGCGTTGTGAATAACTTAGCCAATATTCAGCACATGATGATAAAAGTTATTTTCTCTTAGCATATTACAAGTTAAAATATCTCCCTATATATTAATTCAAAGCGCGTTGAGCCTAAGTGGCAGGTTTGTATGCTCCGAAATCATATGTGGCAAAATTACATGCTTCGTTATTAGGCTTGAGTAGATTTTAATTTACTTCCAATCCAAAAATAACTAAGTTCGGATTATTCATAAATATATTGATTACTTATGGTCATGTTACATGTATTAATTGCATTTTAATATAATTTGTTATTATAATTATTGAGTTGTAAGATCGCATGATTCGAAATCCTATGTGGCAAAATTACATGCTTTGTTATTAGGTTTGGGTAGATTTTAATTTACTTCAAATCCAAAAATAATTAGGTGCGGATTATCCATAAATATATTGATTATTCATGGTCATGTTACATGTATTAATTGCATTTTAATATAATTTCTTATTATAACTATTGAATCGTAAATGTATTTTAAAAATTAATAATTTTTATATTTTTTTAATCAGTTTTACATATATAATATATCTAATTAATCATCTCTTGATTTTAATTCGTCTTCTTCCTATTCTCTCTCTTGAGCCCCCAATTTCCTCTCTCTCGCTTGCCGCTACAAATCGGAAATCGTTGCCTTCCTCTCGGCTTCCAGCCGCCCGATCCTTCCTAGTTGCCGCGACTCTGCTGGCCATGGATACCAGTGGTTCTTGTGGCTGTCGATTCCAATTCGCCTTCTATGGAAAGAAGGTTAGGGTTTGTGGGTGCAGGCCTTAGGTGCTGTGGCGGGCCTACGGGTTGCGGTGCCATGCGTTAAAGTCGGGTGCGGCTCTGCCGATCCAATTTCTTGGGTCGGAGCGTCTTGGGTTTCTCGGGTGAGCATCTCTCCAGATTTGCTTTTCGACGGCTTGGATGGACGTCTTGGTTCATTTTTCCGGTCGCCGAGGTGTGCAGGGTCAGTTCGTCTGCAACGTTCAGTTTTGCCGGCTGAATGGTGATAGAAGAAGGCGAGATTTTGGTTAATGATTGGCTTGGATTTGGGTCTGCTGGTCTTGATTGAGGGTAAGTTTCTTTTCTTGTCGATCTGTCTCGGTTCTCTTTTGGCCTACGACTGGCTGTACTTCCTGCTTTCTCTGCACTCTTAGTCGTGTTGACGGGGCTCTGTGGATGCAGCTCTATGTGGAGAGGCGGGGTTTGGTGCCTGCGGTTCGGGGGACAGGTTCTTGTGCGGCTCAGGCGTCTTCGTGTATTCGGGAAAGTGGGGCTAGGGTTGCGGCATCGAGTCAGCTCATTTTTCCCTGGTTCTCTGGGGTTGGGTTCTGGGGTGAAACTGTTTTGGCGGTGTTGGGAGCTTTCTTGATGTTTTCCTGGCGTTTGAAAGAATTGACTTTGTGTAGGATTCGTGGCAGGAGTTTCGACTCAGGCGGTTGGCTGTGGAGGGGTCGCTCTTCTTCTGGTGTGGGATCTCCCTGGGTTGATTTGGTGGCTACTTGTTTGGTTAGGATTGGTGTAGAGGGAGGGCTAGTGTCTTTTGTTTATGTATTTTCCAGTCTTGTTTAGTTTTGTTTGATTTTAGGATCTGTGTTTTTGGTTTGGGCTATTTGGCCTCAATGAGCCTGAGTTGTTAGTGTTATATACTGAAAGCTTGGCTTTGCATGTTATTACATGTTTGTCCTTTATGAATGAGAATCATGTTAGATTAAACAAATTCTACGTTCTGTTGTTGTGCACTTACATAGGGTGGGTCGTCATTGGGACTAACCGAAGATCACTCTATCAGTTACTTGCGAACAAGAATAGTTGTTTACAACCTAGATGGACATGAACACCCCATCTGAACAAGTGTAGTGTCAATTGTATAGTTTGTCTTGACTGATTAGTTGCACTAGCACATTTATGTATTGAACATGATCTCAGACAGGAGAAGTTCATTTTATATTGGTCGTCGTAAATGAACTAGGCCTCGGTTAATTACTGCGTTCTCTTAACCCGTAAGATATTAAACAGACAGATATATATATAATATATATTACTTTGATTCACATGGGTGAAGTCCAGTTCGCTGGATTAATATTCCTACTGTTTTGGGTAATATTATTATATATAGGATGTGTTTTTAGGATTTTTACGTCACCATGTGCATTAGTTTGATGATGTCCCAAGAGTGAGTTAATGAAGGATTGTTATGCTAAACCCTGCAGGTAGATTAAGTTCCGACATAATAAGAATTGATGAACGAGCGCTAGCTTCGGTGAAATAATAATAAATTAATTAATTCTTGATTGTCAGTAATCGAATTAATTAATGGACATTATATGTTAAACGTGGGGAGATAAATCAAGTAATTATTATTGGAGTTTCAAATGTAATTTGGAATAGGAAAAGGGAGTGCAATAATATAATGTTGGTGGCCCATTAATATTATTTATTTAATTAGAGAAGTGGGCTTGGCCCACAGTTAGTCTAATTAATTAAGGAGCCTTATTCCTAATCTCCTAAGGGTCCCTACTGTAGCTCTATATATACATCATTAAGCTCATTAAAAGAGAAGACATGTCATAATACAAACACACGCCCCACGCCTCTCTCTCTCTCTCTCTCTCTCTCTCTCTCTAGATCTCATTCGAGCTTTATCTTCTTCTTGTTGCTCCACTGGTACAAGTTGAAGAAGGGTGTATGGAGTAATACGGTAGAAGATTTGTAGGTAAACCGAGATAAAATATATTTTATCGTATAGGACAAATTGGAAGTCTGATCACGACGCACAACATACCCAGACGACCGTCTCGACGAGACCTTTCCATCGTCGCCGAGATCGCCGGATTCGAACGCCGCATGCTCTCTCATGCCGCCGCCGAAAGCTCCCAGGCTGCAAGATCCGTCCACATCTGATTGTATCTGTTTGATCTGTTTTCGATCTGATCTTGTTCGTGCAATCCCAAGACGTGATTTGCGGTCATCCGTTCGTGTGATCTAATTCATTGGTGTGTTGTGTATGTCCATCCAGAAGATCAGCCAGATCGCCATAAATTTTAAGTCGTAAGTTCTCTACGTCAAACCTTTAGATCCGTTGTGCATACGTTTACGTTTTCTATTTAATTCGTGACTTGTACATAACGAGATCCTTACAGATCCCAACACCTGTATCTCTACTCACATTTAGATTGAGCTCGATGCTGCCGCTGTCGCCACCCTCTGGACCTCGGGACACCATGCCACATGGCAGATCCAACACTCGCTCATGCACATTAGAGCCACCAGATTTTGCACATTTTTCGAGAGGAAAACTGACCTGCTGACCTCGTAACTAGCATAGGTGCCTCCACTCTAGAGGCGCATATTTTGCCCGGATGGCGCTCCGCTTCACCTCCGCAGCCTTGTGCGGATGGACCATGACGGTTACCCCTCGTTTAGATTTCGGTAGCCTTTTAGTTTTTTGTGTGTTTTATGTATTTCAGACAATTTTGTGGGTCAGACTACTCGTCTGGGCACCTTCTAGCCCAGGTTTAGACTGCCCCTTTTGGGTGGATTTTCCTTTTCTCGTTTTTGCTTTCGGTATTTGGTAGGACATGTGTAGACTTTGCTTAAAACAATAAGAAGCAAAGGCACCATTTGCCAAACTCGCACACCCACAGCCAGACCATTTCTATCCATTAAACGTTGCAATGGGTGCAACCGGTGCTGAACCAAAAGCAAAGCTCATCC